TCCTACAATAGATTAAAATTTTAATAACTAATGATTGAATCAATGATTTCAATTCAATAATTGCATATTTTTTAATATCTAAGTTAGAAAAAGATTATAAAGATGGTCAAATACATCAAATATTATCTAAAATTGACTCTGATGATAGCTAATTTTCTTTTCCAATCTTAATGTTAATATTCTAGAGCCAAAATCTCTTAATTTTATATATCAATAGATCTCAAAGAAATGGACAAAAAAAGTGCATAAATCAAGTATTGAGGCAATATTTGAGGTGTATTATCAACTATCAATAAGATGATTGGATAGTTTTTTTACCATTAGCAAAATTTGCTTATAATAATAAGATACATTCTTCTATTCAATAAATACCATTCTTTGTTAAATATGATTATCATCCATAACTTGATGCTTTTCACTTCTCAAAAATTCAATAAACCTATGACAAAAGATTTGGCAAATCGTTTATCTCAAGTACATATAATAATGCAAGTACAGTTAATAGAACCCAAGAATGATATAAGGCTAATATGGACAAAAGTACATAAGAATAAGAAGCATACTATTTGAAAAATCTTTTTTCATCTACATCTACAAATCCTAATATTTTGGAAGAGATATAAGTTTTTTTTAGGCTCCAAGACTTTACCATGGTTGTAAGCACCATTAAGTACTTTGCAATGGACCTCTCTGCATGGTTAAGAATGCAAATCTTCACTATTAATTTACTTTGCTTTGCCCTTATTCAATTCAACTCAATTTGAGGCTTGCATTTGTTGCAACCTTACTTCAAAGATTACAACTTAGAAATAGATGGTAGAAGCTTATTTACATACAATAGCCTATCTTTGAATAAAATGCCAATTATTAATTATGTAAAATAAAAAAAATAAAAAAAATAAAAAATAGTTGCTTGACTTACCTCAATACAAAAAATACTTCAAAAAGTAGAAGATAGGATGGTCATGACAAACATCAAGATCCAACAATTAAAAGCAATTAATAAATATTAAAAAGAGATTCAAAAAGAATATAAAGAATAAAAGAATATTATTAATCTTTTAGATTTTTAGATTGAGTTTTAGCTTTCTATATTGCTTGGATATGCAACACAATAAGAATCATTATACAACATACTTGATTACTAGCTTTCAAGCATCCCAAGCTCTTATAGTTTGAGGTGCACCATTTTGAAGAATGCTTGGTCTAAACAACAATATCCAAATTATATTTAGAGGATGAAGATCTATCTTAGGTACCATAGCTCACCAATGCATCACCTCTCCATCTCCACCTAGTTATCACGCTTTCTTTTGATTCTACAAGAACAATCATAATTCTCAAGAAAATCTTCAATATCCTACCTTCATGTTTCTTTTTTTGGATGATTAGAGCTTCTTTATACCTTCTTCGATGGTGATAAGGAAGAAATCCCTACTTGCACTCAATCAAGTAATCCTCAATTTCTAGTATTTTGCCAAAATGTTCTTTGGTGTTTGAAAGTACACCATAAATTAGAAATTGAAGAAAGTAACCAACATGAAGATCAATAATACAACCAAATAGAACACATATTTCTTTAATATTTTAAATAATATCCAAATCTTGTACAATATTATGTCATTTTATTGATGAAGGATATTCATGCTATAATTTATAATAAAACTACCACCAACATGGTTTCCAATACATGTTAACATACTGTAACCACTACTAATCAACACATAGTTTTAAGTCAAGGTTTTATTGGAGAGTAGTATAATATGCATAATGGAGACCTATTACCTCACACATTACTATAATAAAGTATCTCAAGATAAATTCAAGCTAATCATGGGGATTAAAATGTCATAATATAAAACAAAAGATATGCAAAATAAAATAGATACATCAAACAAAGAAAAGACAAAAGTTGAGAAATAAATGGAAGATTAAATAGAGACAAATGAAGAATTAGATGAAGACAAATGAAGAATTAGATGATGTTTTCATGTACTTAAGTTAAGGACTTAGCACAATATGGATATTTCTTCTAGTTGTACAATGGTTAGGTTAGTGCAGTGGTAGTCAAGGTTTTATAATAGAGCAAATTTCAAGTTTCTTTATTTATATAGATTTGTAGAATTTTTTATATGAATAAAGATTAATCTTATTCAACTTTTGTTGTGGGTTGATCTTTTTAAGTATGAATATATAGGAATAAGGGAGAAGTAAAGCACTTGTATTATAAAATAGACCACCATGGACTAATATTAGAATCTTTATAGATTATTCAAAGTTTTGTAGGAATTTAGTCTTTAGAGCCTTAATTCTCTGAAGTTGTAAAGAATGCAATGTAATAGATATCTCTCATGACTATCTTTCAACTACTACTTTGCTACTTTTCCTTATTTGCTAAGCATCTTAATTATAATTTTCTAAATATTGACTATTCTTAATTTTGTAAATACTCAACTATAAAATACTTTGAAATTCTTTAAATCTAATGGTATTTGCTATTAATCCTCATTGCTTTTTTGGTCTCCAATTTAAACAACACTACTCTAATCATCCTTTTAGTTTAAACTTAATAGGAACATTAATAATGCATCTTCTAAGAAGATGATTTGTGTGTGGCTTAAACCTCACTTTGTTGGCTTATTTATTCATCAACCAACAATGCTTTCATCTTGTTTAAGTACTTTCTACAATCCTCTACTTTCATCTATAGTCCTTACAAAACTTGACTTCATTCTTAATTTTTCTTGTCCCTACATATACTTGATTCTCTTTATACAAATATTACAATGACATAGATTCACATATTTACTTTCAAAAGACCATTGATAAGGATAACAATATTAACTCACAATAGAAAGTTTTGTTGTTTGATTCTCTTAATCAATTCCAATGTTGTATATTTTGAAGAATTACCAATAGAAATAAAAATATCTTAGATTCATATTTTAGATCTATTTTAATTAAACTTCAAAAATTATTGCTTGAAATAAAACTATTATTGTAGTACCAAAGTAGGACTCAAATGCTTTGTGTAAAATGTTTTTAAGAAATAAAATAAGCATACTCCTCTCTTTTTTGAGTTGTAAAGGAAATTTAGAATCTACTCAACTTCATCATAAAATCTCAAAAGGAGAATCAAGAGAAAAGATAAGATTATGAGATAGAGAAGAAAATGACATTTTGACAATGGTTTACTTGTTACTACAACCTAGGGCCCAAGTTAGGTGGATTGGAGTTATTTGAACTCGCCTCTTTGAACAAAAGAGAAATAAAACCAATTATTCGAATATTTTAGTGTTTAAATCAACTAGTAAAGAGAATTTTAGATATTAAATCTAATATTAACAAAGAAGAATTGGAAAAGAAGTAATAACTTGGAAGATTCTTTCTTGTCATTGGATTGGATTTGTGTACATATTCTAAGGTATATTACAAATGAAAGAAGAAAATTGGAAAAGAAGTGTAAAAAAAGCCTCTTTAATTTGTGCAACTTTGCTCATAGATCATATAGAGAACAAACATTGGATCATTTCTAGGTATTCTAACTTGTTTGTTGTGGCAATTGGACAAAGTGTGCTATAAATTACCTTGACACAACACTTTTGCAAGGCCTGAGGCCTTTAGTGAAACTAAGTTGTAATACAACTTTAATAAAAATCCTAATTAATAACATAAATATAGCATATGCCTCTCAATTTACATATCTTCAAACAACTACATAAATAAATAGAGATATACATAAATGGATATATAATCTTTTATATATATATATATATACATATATATGTATATAAATTAGTATTATAATATATGTAATTCTTAAATAAGATTAAAATTAATTCTTACTTAACAAAAAATATATGAAATAAAATAAATCAATTTTCCTAAATGATTCAAAGGTATTAAAGAATCATATATATATATATATATATATAAACATCTACATTATATCTATTTATAATAATTTTCTACATAATTTAATGATGTAAAGTATTAAGATTTTTAAATTAATATTGATTTTCTTCAATACATTGATGCATTAAGTATTATTCAATAAAAATTATAAACTGTACATACACTCTTCTCACTTTGATATTATTAATATTATAACAAAGCACTTTTTAACGTGTAAGAAAAAAAGAATATATATATATATATATATATATATTTAAAGAAACAACAGATGATGACAACATATAATGGTGAAGCACTTTTCCACAAATAAAAGTAAACAAACATACAAAAACCAAATCCCATTGCACACGACATCAAACATGAAAATCTAGCTCCACTCCACACAAGGATATGTACAATCACAACCGTGACTCCAACCAGCTGATAATGCATGCAACACGATCCAACATAAACAGCAACTAAAGAGAGCACTGGAACAACAAACCATCTATCGTGCTAACAAATTCAAACATAATCTAGCAACTGAACCAAAGACTACCACAACCAACCCAACTTCACAGAAGGCCGAACAGTAACCCGCAAAGTCCAACCCCAAAGAAATAAACGACAGTTTGGACAAATACCGCCATATCTCAAAATAAACAAAACAGTCCAGCACCAAGAGCCAACTCCAGCCTAAAATTGATAGGAGCGACATACGAATTCAAAGCAGGCAATCAACATTCAAACCACACACAATCCCTCCAAACCAAGGTACCCATCGCTACGGTGCACATCCACTAAATACTAGAATTCCATCGGCAAGCAGCAGTCATCTCGACGCTACACAGCTGCACTTTCCCAGAGGGGCTGAAACCGGCGCTGAAATCCTTGAATTGGCGCACATTATCAGCGCCTTGGAGCACTGAGCAGCGACATTATGATACAGGGTTATCCGCAACCCAACTGTGCTTGAATTGAAGCACTTTCGAGTCACATACAATTGGTCGGTTCGGACAGAGGTGCACTTGAATCATCTTCACTGGATCACTGACAACTCAAACGACACTACCATCCATGCTTCACGCGACGAGTGTGGAACGAAGATTACAAGAATCGAGCGCAGTATATTTCCTTCGGCAGTTAACGTACAACCTTGAAAGTGGCTGAATTCCTCAAGAATTTCTGAATTTAGCGCCGTCTAAAGGGAAAAAGGGGAAAAAGAAAAAAAAGAAAAAAAAAAGAAAAAAAAAAATGGGGTGGCTATCCCTTCTAACAGCTTCACTGCAAAAGAATTAAACAGCTCAACCAAATAGAAGCACCACAATAGTGCAAAAATCAATCTATAAATTAGTCGACCTCCTCAATCTTGGGGCCGGCACCAGACGGAGCAGCATCATCATCTCCTCCGTACGAGGGGGCACCACCCGCGGCACCTCCTGCACCTCCCTGGTACATGCGCGCGATGATGGGGTTGCAAACGCTCTCCAACTCCTTCATCTTGTCCTCGAATTCGTCGCTCTCTGCCAATTGATTGTGGTCCAACCATTGGATGGCAGCCTCGACTGCGTCCTCAATCTTTTTCTTGTCAGCGGCATCCAAGTTGGCTGCAATCTTGTCGTCCCTGATTGTGTTCCTCATGTTATAGGCGTAGTTCTCAAGGCTATTCTTTGCCTCGATCTTCTTCTTGTGGTCCTCGTCCTCAGACTTGTACTTCTCGGCTTCCTGGACCATCTTCTCGATTTCGTCCTTCGACAGACGGCCCTTGTCGTTGGTGATGGTGATCTTATTCTTCTGCCCGGTAGTCTTGTCCTCAGCCGACACGTTCAAGATACCGTTTGCATCGATATCGAAGCACACTGTGATCTGGGGCACACCACGGGGAGCCGGGGGGATTCCGGACAATTCAAACTTTCCTAGCAAGTTGTTGTCCCTCGTTCTTGCCCTCTCTCCTTCGTACACTTGGATCAACACTCCGGGCTGGTTGTCAGAGTAGGTAGAGAACACCTGCTCCTTCTTCGTCA